TCCTCCCCCACAACAAACACTCTGTGAGGTGAGTGAGGCTGAGAGACTTCAGAGAAGTGTGACTAGCCCAAGGTCACCCAGCAGCTGCATGTGGAGGAGCGGGGAATCAAACCCAGTTCACCAGATTATGAGTCCACCGCTCTTAACCACTACACCACACTGGCTTTCAGTGTGGTGCTAGCCACAATGGCAATGTTCTTCTGCTTCCAGCTGTGGAGGGCAGAGCACAGCCATCATGACTAGTAGGCACTGAGAGCTGTCTCTTCCTTTTGTGCTTGGGTCCTGCTTGTGGGCTTCCTATAGGGGCATCTGGCTTTGCCACCGTGAGAAGAAAAGGCTGGACTAGATGTGGCCCCTTTGACCAGATCCAACAGGCTCTGATTCTTGATGTGGCAAACAACAGGCGTTCCTGCTATGGACAAGCAAAACGTGGGCTGGACCTCTGAGGCTTGTGTGCCCTGGGATCCCTGTGTTCCTACTGTTAAATAAGTTGGAGTTCTTGTTATTAAATATACCAAGAAAAAAGCACACCAAGAACTCTGGCCAGTATAAGTTTCAGTAGTGGGAGTGGTGTTGGGATACTGCCAGGGAGATAAAGTCCATCATGGCCCCCAAGCCGGCTGCCAGACGATCCATCGATCTCCTGTAGGCACGCAGTATCAGCAATTAGTGACATGAGCTCCAGAAATAGCCTGCCACATTCTAGAGCCGATGCACACTCTCTATCAGCAGATAATGCACAGCAGAAGTCGCACTCAGGAGAGCATTATTTACAAGTTTTATTCAGCGTTGATCAGAACAAAGAAAAACATGACTGCCTGCTTCAGTGTCTACGACACAGAGAGAGAGAAACGAAAGCAATAGAAAACATAAACTTCCTGTGAACAGGAAATGCGCAGACTCTGTGACTCACAAAGCCTGCTCCCTTTTAAGGTGGAACGGAAATATCCTAACAAGTGGTCCCTACTCGTAAATCAATAGTCAATTATAACAAAAACTAATCCATTCAAAAGTATGTATTCTGACAAGGATTGCAAACTCAAACAGAGATTACAAACTCAAACTCATAAGGATATGTATAACACAATAATTCATTACAGTGTTAGAGATAAAAGTTTATGAGTAGAGATAAGTCCACATTAGTCCATAGTCAGATTTGACGTGAAGATCTTAGTTTCAATCACTGAGCAGAAGTCAAAGTCAATTTTGGATCAGAAGCCAGGACAGGGCCCTGTTTCGATGTACAGTGGTACCTCAGGTTACATGCGCTTCAGGTTACATACGCTTCAGGTTACAGACTCCGCTAACCCAGAAATAGTGCTTCAGGTTAAGAACTTTGCTTCAGGATAAGAACAGAAATCGTGCTTCGGCGGTGCGGCAACAGCAGAAGGCCCCATTAGCTAAAGTGGTGCTTCAGGTTAAGAACAGTTTCAGGTTAAGAACGGACCTCCAGAACGAATTAAGTACTTAACCCGAGGTACCACTGTATTCACCATCAGCTGGAAGTATCAAACATTACATGAAAATACAGTTAAATTCTAAATTATCATAAATTATAGAACAGTATTATACAACATTTGGTTCCTCAGTATTATTCCAACATTTGGTTTTTAGTTTTGAAAAACTAAAAAATAGAGTGCGAGATTGGCTCCACTATTATCAAATAATGGAGGCGTACAATTTGGATAAAAAAATTGGCTTCCAGGTGGAAAAATCAAAATTGGAAATAGAACTGTTAGATCCCAAAACTAAGAACTTGTCAAGAATGTATAACTTGCTGTTGAAATGGAATACTCAGGATGAAACAGTGAAATCAACTATGATCAAATGGGCACAAGATGTAGGACATAATATTATGATGGCTGACTGAGAACAGTTATGGACCACAGGTATGAAATTTACGGCATGTAATGCCCTAAGAGAGAATATAATGAAAATGATCTACAGGTGGTACATGACACCAGTCAAGCTTGCAAAAATATATTATTTGCCCGATAATAAATGTTGGAAATGTAAAGAGACTGAAGGCACATTTTTTTCACCTTTGGTGGACATGCCCAAGGATTAAGACATTCTGGGAGATGATTTACAATGAAATGAAAAAGGTATTTAAATATACCTTTCAGAAGAAACCAGAGGCCTTTCTCCTGGGCATGGTCGGTCAATTGGTGTCAAAAAGGATAGAACCTTTTTTATGTATGCCACAACAGCAGCAAGAATACTCATCGCAAAGTATTGGAAGACACAAGATCTACCCACCCGGGAAGAATGGCAGATGAAGGTGATGGACTACATGGAACTGGCGGAAATGACTGGCAGAATCCGAGACCAGGGAGAAGAGTTGGTGGAAGAAGATTGGAAGAAATTTAAAGTTTATTTACAGAAACATTGTAAAATTAAGGAATGTTAGAAGGATGTTGGAATGAAATAATGCGGTTTTAGCAGAAATGTTATAAAGGATTAAGGAAAAATAGATTGCTAAATGGTGAAGGAGGGAAAGTAAAGTTACATTATATTAAGATAGAATAGAGGACAAAAAAAATTGGAAAAGATGGAAAGGATTTGCTGAAATAGCTAATTGAACTAGAATACAAAAAAGGGAGGTGTGAGGAGGTCAAGGAAATAAGCAAATGAAAGATAAGTTATGGGAAGATTTATTGTATTTTTTCTTTTTCTCTCTCTCTTTTTTTTCTTGTTTCTTTTTTTTTATATTATCGTGATGTGATGTTTTGTATTTCTTAAATATGCTGTTTTTTAATTCTTTCTTTTTGCAACCCTTTAAAATTCAATAAATATTATTATTTTTTTTTAAAAAAACATTTGGTTCCTCACCTAATTTTTAAGGGGTCGTGTAAGTTTCTGTGTTCCTGGCAATGGAGGTGCTGCCCCTGTATCTGACCTACTCTCAAGCTCCTCCCCAAAAGGAGGTTCCCTACTGATATAGGTGGCCAATTCCCACCCCTGTGGAAAACAGGCACGTTTTCAAATTCCTCCTGAAAGTTGAAAATGATGGAGGCAGGCACACCTCACCAGGAGAACAGTTCCACAGTTGGGGAGCCACTGCTGAAAAGGCCCTGTCACGGGGTCTGCGCCAGCCGGGCACCACCAACAGTTCAGTGTTCTGGATGACACCAAAGGCCAGGACGTTGACAGGGCGGGGATACCAATAAATTATGCGATAGTGGGAAAAAAGATTTCTATTTTTTGTGTGCTTCAGAACCTAGATCATCAGGAATCCAGGTTCTAATCCTGGTTGCTATTGACAGTTTCTTGGCTGGGCCATGAATATGCAGCTGCTGGTTGCATTGTGTATGTTTTTGAATAGAGTGCCTGCCACACTGGACCAGACAAATGTCTGTCCAGCCAATCAGGTCACGGCAGGGATAGACGTGGAGCAACCAATAGCCCTCAAGCGGTCAAGAGAGTAAGAGGCAGGTAGGTCTTGGGGGAAAGCCAATCAGGGACTGATGATGGCTCAGGAGAATGTTTCTTTTGAATTTAAATGAACAACTGCAGAGAGTTGACCAAATCTTCGCCTCTCTGGTTTCGTCTAGAGAAACCCCGCTAATGTATTCCAGGACACATAAGAATTTATTCATGACTGGGCAGGATGCAGAGGGAGGATAGACAGGCCTTGTTGCCTCGGTGACAGACAAGGGGTGTTTGGCACAGCAGAACGGCAACAGCAGTATAGGCCAAGTCAGGATGAAAGAGAGAGAGAGAGAGAGAGAGAGAGAGAGAGAGAGAGAGAGAGCATGCACAAAAAAGAGAGGGGGTAATATAGGAAGATGCTGCTTAAGACTGAATGAGACCCATACTTCCATCCAACTCAGCATTGCTTGCACTGACTGGCAGCAGCTTCTCCAGGTTTCCAGGCAGGGGATATTCCCAGCCCTACCTGGAGATGCTAAGGGACGCGGGTGGCGCTGTGGGTTAAACCACAGAGCCTAGGGCTTGCCGATCAGAAGGTCGGCGGTTCGAATCCCCGCGACGGGGTGAGCTCCCATTGCTCGGTCCCTGCTCCTGCCAACCTAGCAGTTCGAAAGCACCTCAAAGTGCAAGTAGATAAATAGGTACCACTCCAGCGGGAAGGTAAATGGCGTTTCCGTGCACTGCTCTGGTTCACCAGAAGCGGCTTAGTCATGCTGGCCACATGACCCGGAAGCTGTACGCCAGCTCCCTCGGCCAATAAAGCGAGATGAGCGCCACAACCCCAGAGTCGGTCACGACTGGACCTAATGGTCAGGGGTCCCTTTACCTTTACTTTACCTGGAGATGCTAGCGGTTGAACCCACAACCTTCTTCATGCAAAGCAGGTGCTCTAACACCAAGTTACAGCCCTTTGCTATTCTGAGGCTGGCCACTGCTCCCATCTAGCTCAGTACTGTCTACCCTGACCAGCAGTGGCTCTCCAGGATTTTAGGCAGCCGTCCTTCCCAGCCATGCCTGGAATTGGTGGAGTCTGAACCCAGGACCATCTGCATGCAAAGCAGGTGCTCTGTCACTAAGCAGCCGCCTGTCCCTTACGACACAGGAGCACAGCAAGCTACCTTCTACTGAATCAGACCATTGGTCCATCTACCCCAGTGTTGTTTACACTGACTGGCAGCAGCTTTTTAGGTTTTCAAGAAGGGGATATTTCCGGTCTTACCTGGGACTAATCTATACTGGTGAGTTATAATGTTATAAATGCGTTATAAAAATGTGACACCAGGGGGTGCTGTAAAGCAGTCAATGGAAAATTGCACTGAGAGAAACATAACGTTTTTTTCTTAGTGTTTTTAAAGATCTGTGTAGATCCAGCCCTAGAGATGCTGCCAGGGATTGAATCTGGGACTTTCTGCATGCAGGGCAGAAGATCCAAACCTCAGCTATGTCCCTTTCCCCTATAAATAGTTAAGTTCTCATTGCTCTGAGTAAAGTGTTCATAGAATCATAGTTGGGGGGGGGGGGGATCTCGAGGGTTATCTTGCCCAACCACCGGCAATGCAGGAATCTTTTGCCAAACGTGGGGCTTGAACCCTCGACCATGAGATTCAGAGTCTCATGCTCTACTGACTGAGCTATCCCAGGAATCTGAAACATAGGAAGCTGCCTTAGATAGGAACATAGGAAGGGAGCATTGTCTACACAGACTGGCAGGTTATCAGGCAGGGGACATTTGTGGTCCTATCTGGAGGCGCTGCTGAGGATTGAATCTTGATCCTTCTGCATGCAAAAAAATAATTTAAAAAAAAAAAATACAGGTGCCCTGCCACTTAACTAAAGTGCTGGTATGTGGTCCCTAAAAGGTAAAGGGACCCCTGACCATTAGGTCCAGTCGTGACCGACTCTGGGGTTGCGGCGCTCATCTGTCTCTATTGGCCAAGGGAGCCAGCGTACAGCTTCCGGGTCATGTGGCCAGCATGACTAAGCCGCTTCTGGCGAACCAGAGCAGCGCACGGAAACGCTGTTTACCTTCCCGCCGGAGCGGTACCTATTTATCTACTTGCACTTGATGTGCTTTCGAACTGCTAGGTTGGCAGGAGCAGGGATCGAGCAACGGGAGCTCACCCCGTCGCGGGGATTTGAACCACCGACCTTCTGATCGGCAAGTCCTAGGCTCTGTGATTTAACCCACAGCGGTGACAAAAGCAGAAAGTGGTCCTTGGGCTTGAAAAAGACCCCAATCCCTGCTCTGTAATTTTTTTTAACCCTTTCCCCAGTGTCTCAGTGGATTTTGTTTGGGGCAGGAAAAAAAGGACCATCGCTCAACACAGCTTCTGAAGCCTGGGCCTGACTCCACAGTTCCTCTGCCACAGGAGTTCCATTCTGCTTACACAAAAAAATTGCAGGGGAGGAAATCCCTCCCGCTTCGCCATCATGTTTTCCTCCCCACCCTCCCCCCATGTCAATAAAGCAAAAAACAAGGAACATCTTGTAAGGCCGGATGACAAGAGTGCTGAGGCAGCTTTGATTATGCGTTGATGGAGTTTGCTGGGAAAGCTCTAAGTGGAATGGAAGAAGTCGCTAATGGATGTGGACAGAGGGTGCCGAGATGACCTTTTCCGCGCCTTAAAGGATCTTCCAACGAAGCCAGATGCCAGGTTTTGGACAGCACTGTCAAAATCCTTGTTATGTAATCCACTCCTGCCCCCTATCCCAGTGGTCTTGAGTCGCTTGGTCTGGCTGCTATCCTGTTCTTAGGGCCTGCAGGGAAAGTGGTGAACATCAGCTCTTTCAGTCCTAGGCAAAATGAACCAGGACCCAGGCCAGCTCCCAAGAGAAAGGCAACACCAATCAGCACCTTGGCTAGCTCCCAGCAGCAAGGCAACACCAATCAGGACCAGTGGGACCTGCTGGTTGAGCTTGCAAAAATGTTGTCACAGCAAAGGCTCCAGAGTCACCTGAAGCCTTAAAAAGCCTGGCATGGGTTGATCTTCCAGTGGCTCTCCCTTCTCCCCTGAATAGTTCATGGGCCCCATGTCTATTCTGCAGCTGTATGCAGGACATGGTTGTCCTGGTGGGCACTCAGTGCCAAGGTAAGTAGACCACATGTCACACTGGCCCTGCAGATGTTCTCAATCCCAATGCTGCCCTCCTAACCCTCCTCCTGATTGTTGGAGACAGTGGGGTCAGGGAGTCATGTTCCTCCAGGGTCCTAGCCTCCTCTGTGTCGGAGGACTCTGTGATCTCTTCTGTGCTGGTCCCAGGGGTTAACCAAGAGGCGAGGTCCAGGTCCAGTCCGTGGTTGATGATGCAATAAGTCCGTAAATGTTGAAGCTGGGGGCAGGGCAGAGTACAGGCAGGAACTGACAACCAACAATGTTGCTTCCGCAACTTGGGACTGGGGCTGACTGGCTTTTATCTGCCCCGAGGCATAGGGCAGCCACGATCCTCAGGTGACTCGCCTCTCCTGGCCTGGAGGCAAGCACTCCTCCTGCGGGAACCTAGTTCCCTCCGCCTCTCTGCCCTGAGCCTCTGCAGCCCAGGAGAGGCTGGAGGGTTATCGGACCCAGAGGCAACCTCCTCTTCCCCTGACAGGGCTGAGAGTGGAGCACCTGCAGGCAATGGGTCCTCCATCACCTCAGGAGCTAGAGCAGACTCAGCTGGTGTCTGCGTCTGAGGATCCAGCGCGGGTGAGGACCCTTCAGGCTCATGCCCCAGCCCTGGCTCAGCTGGTCCTGGAGGCAGGGAATCCTGTGCAGGCTGGGATTCCTCAGGTTCAGGATCCGACTCTGAATCCCAGGCCATAACATCTTCTTCCATGTGTGCCTGGTATTCCGTTCTTCTTGCTCTCCCTTTGGCCCTTCATTCTCCAGCCTCTCTTGCACCTCTTCATGTTCCATGGGGGTGTTGAGGTCTCCTGAACTGAATCCCAAGAACCTTCAGTAGCCGCTGCTGCCCTCCTCCAGGTCGTGCACATCCTGCCAGCCGTGGCGCACCTGCCACTCCATGACAATGGTGGTGGAGCAAGCTGTAGTGGAATCATCAAATTCTATTACTGGAAGGGATTCCGGGGTCATCAAGACTTGCAGTGCAGGAATCACAACTAGAGAATCCCAAAGGGCCATCTAATCTCTGTTTAAATTCCTCCAAAAAATGAGTCTTCCATCTTCCAATGGAATGTATGCAGTCAAAACCTCCTTTCTTATAATTTGAACCCATTGGCTTGGGTCCTACCCTCTGGAGGAGCAGAAAACAAGCTTGCTCCATCTTCTAGGTGACAGCCCTTCCAATATTTGAAGGTGGCTATCCTATAACCAAGGGTGGTGCTGTGGGTTAAACCACAGAGTCTAGGACTTGCCGATTGGCGGTTCGAATCCCTACGACGGGGTAAGCTCCCGTTGCTCAGTCCCTGCTCCTGCCAACCTAGCAGTTCAAGAGCACGTCAAAGTGCAAGTAGATAAATAGGTACTGCTCCAGCGGGAAGGTAAATGGCATTTCCGTGCACTGCTCTGGTTCGCCAGAAGGCACTTAGTCATGCTGGCCACATGACCTGGAAGCTGTACGCCGGCTCCCTCGGCCAATAAAGCGAGATGAGTGCTGCAACCCCAGAGTCGGTCACGACTGGACCTAATGATCAGGGGTCCCTTTACCTTTTACTATCCTATAACCTCTCTGTCTTTTCTGCTCCAGGCTAAGCATACCCACCTCCCTCAGCTGCCAGTGAGAGGGGTGGCATGGCTAGTGTTCTGAGGGCCAAATAAAGAGGCCTTTATTTGAATTATGTGACGCCAATTGTTGCATTCTCCTGGGGCCCCCTTAACCCAGGCAGGGCAACAGCAAATGAATTTTCTGCATGCTATGAAGACCCCTCCCAGAATTCCCTGAAGCATCACAGAGCATTATGGAATAGCCTCTCAGCTGTCAGGAACATGCCCCCCCCCCCAAGCGCAGGGGAAGAGTTAGATTCAGAAACCGGACTAAGTGAACGAGGGACAGACTCTGCAGATGAGAGCTGGCTGATAGAGTCGAGAAAGGGCAGTTTGACCCCCCCCTTCCCAGGGAAGACTCTGTTAGCTCTCAAGAAGAGGAAGAGTTGGAGGGCAGCCAGAGTGTTGCTAGGCAATCAGCAGATAAGCCGAGGTATGAGTCTGTGTCAAGTGGCAGTGGGGAGGGGGCAGGCCACCCCCTCAGTCCCCGTTCTAGGCATCTGGATAAGATCAGATGGCAAAGGAAGGGCAAGAGGGGAAAGGCGGGAGTTTGGCGTCCTTCCTGTGTGGGAGGGGCGAAAATTCAGACTGACCAACTATCGTAAATGTGAGCAGGCGAGAAGCCATGCTCTGTCTTTTTGTAAATAAACGTACACAAAACTGCTGGAGAGTCATTACTTCTTATCGGGGCTTGCTTGCCTGCCAGAGATCATTACATCAGCCTTAACTTCACTGCTGTATTCAGCAAACTGACTGTCCCTCTCTCTGATTGCCTTACACAGCCACCTTGTTGCTCGGCAGCCCTGTCTCTTCCTTGCCCTCCATGGTGCAAGATCGACTACAGAAGAAGCTTTTGCTTCTGGAGCCCATCTATAGCACCAAAGATTCAGATACACTGAAAATGCAGCCTGCGGGCCACTTTCTTTCCAGTGCATTTGTCAATGGAGGTGGGGGGAGCTTTTAATCCAATCAGTGAAAAGGTTAACGGAAAGACCATTGACCCGTAGCCTCAAATGATGTCTTTGGAAGCTGCAAAGCCCCCAGTGGCTGCGTGTCAAAGTTCTTTCGCTTCCTGTTACAGCTGGAGGAAGGGGATCGGTATTCTTTTCTTTTAACCGTAGCTGTGTGTGTGTAGCTGGCAGGTGAGACTTTCCAACAGAAAATGGGTGGTGTGGTGGAAATCGGCAGATAGGAACAGGAGAAAAAGCTGCAAAACCTCCCTGTGAATGCCAGAGGCGTGCAGTGAAATTTTTCATAGGTGAACAATTAGGGCCAAAGGCGTCACCTTGCGCAGGCAAGAACGCAACATCGCGCCTCCATCCCTAAGCTAGGCAAAAGCTTCCCAGGCTTTGGGAAGGAGGCGCCAGGCTTTAATACTTTAATACTCTAATTTACTGGATCATTTAGAGGACTGGCCTAGTCCATTGACCTAGTGCCACTGAAATATAGACACAGGATGATGTGTACCTTCCCAGAAAAAACAGCTCCCCAGAAACCTCAGTTTTCATGTGTATTTGTGTGTGTGTATATATGTATAGTTTTTATTAAATGCTCTGTTTTACAATTTAAAATATTTATTTAAACAATCTGAAAATATCAGTGACTTCCCTTCTTCTCTTTCCATGGTTCATTATGCATAACATAGTCACTGCATATTTTATATAAACTAAACCATTCAGTATTCCATTATTACATCCATCAAAACTTATTTACACTGTTGAATTTATCTTAACACTGCCAACGTTTTCAAATATACCCCCCCCATATATTCAATAAACATTTTCCAATCTTCTTTAAACACATGTTCTTCTTGTTCTCTTATTCTATAAGTTAGGTCCGCATGCTGCACATATTCCAGTTGCCATTCATCTTTGGTTGGGACCTCGATCGTTTTCCATTTTTGGTCTAATGAAAAACGGGCCGCAGTAGTGGCATACA